TGTTGACAAGGTGATGTTGTTTTACTGCGCACGACATTTTGTTTTGGTTCAACTTACGGTTGTGCAGTGATTTGACTGTTTGTCTTTTGACTGTCTACTGCGATCGTTTGTTTGTTGATTTGATTCCTGTAGGCAGAGTTTTGATCCCTTTTGCCGGGAATATTCCTATTGACCGACAGGTACTTAACAGTTGTATTTTTTTAACCAGTTTTTACCGTGTAGTACGTATTTGTACCCGAGAACGTTTTGGACTGTATAGTTACCCAACGGCACTGTTGAGGTATTTTTGTAATTTGACATAACTTATTGTTGCTTTGATAGTACCACAGATTTTGTTACGAATCTACTATTGAATTACTACAAACCGTGTTTTGATATTTCGATCCAACCTTTGACTGTGTGTCACTCGCGGAAGTTAGGAAGCTATACCGTAGAACGCAGGAACTAGTCGGATTCACGTCAGTTGGCACCGCCTAGTTATTTCCCGCGTTCAGGCCAAGATTATTGGATTCTGGCCGCTACAATTGATGAGTATCATTTTCCCTCAGAATTCACCCACAACGACCTACGAGTCACAGCGACCTACGATTCGGAGACTGCGGGACACTGTAGGCTGGTTGCAGATCAGGGATTGTGCAAAACGTTCACAAACATCACTGGAAATATGTCCACCACCCTGCACATTCTTAGGTCTAAACTGGGAAATTGTACACATGTGGCGAATCCACGCCAGAAGGCGACTCACACCCTTTGGGAAGAGTTCTGAAGGCAATCACTTGTACAACCCTTGCTATAGGTGGCCTGATTTGCTAAGATTGACTAAAGGAGCTGAACTTTCCCTCTTTATCCAGTCTCAGAAAGAGTGAAGGTCCAGTCATGCCATGCAGGATTCTGAGAAATGGTTACGGGCTTATTCTATCTCCTGCCTCCTTCCCCTCTTGGTCCAGACACCCCGAAAGACATAGCAGGAGAATACAGAGACAAAGGACGGAAGTGGCCCACCGCAAAGTACTTGTTGTCGGGTCAGTAGTTCAGCTCCTGGGACCAACCTCCAGAAGGGGTCGTGCCCGCGTCATCAATTGACCCATTTAAAAGAGGACTAGACAGGCACAGCGATCTACTGGAAAAGGATTACTACAGGACCATAGCCTTCCATCCTAAAGCAACAAATCTGAACCTTTCACAGATTTATCCCGTATTACTCAACAAAAGTTTTATTTTTATTACCCCCTGCTTATTTTCTGGCTCTAAACCCTCATTTGCATTAATTAACTCCCTTCTGTTGCTTAATATGTATTGAAGGTCTTCCTCCCATTGGCGGCACCGCCGTATTTCGTTTGGTCAAACGACGAGGTTGCTAAAGGTTATCCCTGACTTGTTATGAGTTATAGCTCATGATTGAAAAAACGCGTGTTTTCTGTTTTCCGGAGGTAGATTTTGCCTATTCCTACACTAAGAAAAGCAGCTAATCATCTTGTCGTTCTTTGTACTGCCTTTTGCAAGAAAACTGCTGAATGTGCCGGACATCTTAGTTGGAAAAATTGTGAGTTTGTTCGGGAAGGAAGACGGTCACAAATAAAAGCAAGGTAACTGGGCCTTTAAGTTATTATAACGAAGAATTATGATCGCCATTTGACCTGAAGTCGGTTTGTCATTTACGGTAAGTGGAGTCGAAAAGAAAATCGTAGAACAGTAGATATTTTCTTTCACGAGGCTGTAAATTCAGCCTCAAGTGGTTACCTGTGAGACATTTTTCTGTTTTAAAGTAAGTTGGTCAGTGCAGAACAGGCGAAAACTGCTTTGGCAGACGAGTGGGGAGACGAACTGCAGTAAAGACCTGAAACTGTTTTGTAAGACATAGAGACGAGCAAAAAGAAATCAACTGGTCCACACAAGCTCGTAAAAAGTGATGGATATTAGAAGGTCAGTCTGAAATATGCAGCCCTTCATTCTTCGTCAGATGAACGCACGAGATCACATTTATCAAGAGACAGTTCGTTTCAGATGTGCGTCAGGTGAAATGGCGGGAGGTAGATGAATTCAATGGAATTCTGCGTTGGAAAGTCTGTTCAAGGCGAAGTTATGCAGAAACTGTATTTTGAATAACTTCATGCTAAACATATGTGCATTTACAGTAGTTTCTGCTGTTGTGCAGTAGCGAATGGTGAACCTTCCATTATTAAGGGAATCTTAAGCAACCTAAACCCGAATAAATCTTCAGGGATTGATGGGATCCACCCAAGGGTGTGCGGATGTTCTGAGTACCCCGCTGGCAAACCTCTTCAGATGCTAGTTTCCAGAAGGCAGGCTACCTAGTGGTTGGAAACGAGTATCTGTCCCCCACTATGCAAAGGTGGGAACACTGTTTCCCCCTAAATATAGATCACTCTCCTTGACCTCTTCGTCTGCGGAGGTCATGGAGAGAGTAATAAGTGACTAATTTTGATATTGCTCAAGAATCCATTATTTAACGACTGCCAACCTGGATCGTCATGTAACCACGCTCTCCCCATTGTACAGGAAAGACTCATTCACATTGATTTGCTGAACTTTTCTAAGGCCTTTGGCAGGGTAAATAAGTATGTCCTACGTACGAAATTTCAGCCTATATGCGTACCGGGAAAATTACTAATTTGGCTTAGGGAATGTCTTTACACTGTGTTACGCCCAGAGTTGGCTCCTACTTATGTGATTGGTTCCCGATTCTGAGTAATGCGCCTTAAAATTCTATTCTGTGTCCAATCCTATTTCTTGCTTTCATCAGTGACCTACCAGGATCTCTCAGTCATCATTTGCTATTATGCACCAGTAATCTGAAGATATGCAGGGAAATACAGGTCTCCACACGAGGACCTTATGAGAATCCTAAACTAGGCTACATAAAACATGCTCCCTCTCAACTCGAAGAAGCGTAGGTTGTACCTGCGAAACTAGGCTTCGGTAGATGCGCCAGAAGCAGGTGTCAGCGTGGATGACGACAAGCAGCAAATGTTTTACGGATACATTCACATGGGACTCACAAAGAACAGTGTTTGCTCTCCTGTGCGTCACTTGGGCGGTAGCGATTTCTCCTCGTGAACAATCCATAATAAAAATCTGTGTCCTTCTTGTCTCCTGCATAAATTCTCGAAAACGGTCCAACATCCACACGACATCCAATCTCAGTTCCTTCCTCATCCATGCAAACGGCACAGCACCACCGCGGTTATCAGTAACGACTGGTCGAAAAATCTGTATTTGTCCAATAGCCATTAAAAAAAGATTTTACCCTCTATTGTTGGTGTTATAAGTGGGGTCCATCTCGACTACTTCCGATATAATTGTATTTGCTCAATCGTGTAAAGGCATGCCTGATAACACTCGGAAACCATCGTCCTCCAAATAAAATCGCTTCAAATCTCCTTTTTTGACTCAAGAAGTCGAATGTTTCAGGCACTGATGGACAGTTTCGAACTTTGGACCTAAGAACTACTGTATCTCGATCGGCCCAAGACCTTGAGGTTTACGGTTCACTCCGAAGGCACACTAAAGAAAAAACAGTGTATTTCAAACCGGCATCCCTTGGTCCCTTGCTTTTGACATGAACACGGTGAGTACAAGTAACCTATATTCATCGTAAAATAAAATAGTTAAATACTTTATGAAATTCATCAGCTGTATCCTTTCCAGCTCTCTAGCTGTAGAATGACTTCGACAATATCGCTCTCGGGAATGCCCCAGTTATGTCTACTGACACTGAACCACTCCCAGAAGCTTAGGATGTGCTACTTAAACATATAGGTTACTCAGTAAACATCACAGCGTCACACACTTCTCCAGAATCAATGGCCCAGGGTCCGACGGGAGTCAACATTGGTGCTGACCTTCATAGTTTAACTGGAATCGCTAAACTGAAGGCACCTGGTCAAGCATCCTCTCCATTTGGCACGTTGCACTGCTCGTAATCGACCCTCTAGTCAGTTGAAACGCATCTGTATCTCGACCCAGCCTCACAAATATACTACTCCATCCGACTACGCTATTGTGTTCCTTCTTAATTTTGTATTTGTGGGCATATGACAAGTTCGAATGATTAGTGATTGGCCTCTGCATCTGTCAAGTTCGCATCAGGACAATTCCAAAAATAGTGGAATGAAAATGCAGCAGCAAGCATAACGTATGGGAATTAATACTTTTCAGTGCATAGTAATGCTGCAAAACCCACGGGTGTTCAACCAAAGTTAGGAACCTATGGGATCAGAGGCACTGTCACCTATCTTGATATACAGTAGCTAGCGCTTTGGACACTAATTCCAATCCCCTTTTACAAACTCACCTACAAGAGAAAACAAACCAATCACTTGCCTGTATTATGTAGATGGTGGTAATTTTAACCTCTTAAGCCAACAAGTTTCATTTACTGAAGTATATCACGTACACTAAAGCCTATTCCCAACAGCAACTACCTGAACACGATTGACTATGAGGATAAAGTCGAAAAAGAAAACTTTCTTCGCTGAATCATCTCCTCTCAATGACTCAATGGGCATGTTTCGTAGTCTATGAGGAACCCGCTGCACCTCTGTATCTCAAGGTCGACTGGAAGAAAAGCCAGCCAAATTCATTTTAGGGATAGCTTAACCCTGTAACAGCCTCACTGCCGCTGATGCATCGTGGTAGTCTGTAAGTTTGTGAGGATTACCAGCTTACATTAGGAACCCAAACTTTTCTTCATTAGCAAGTTGTGTAATTTTAGTTAAAATGATATGCGGTTTCAAGTATATTGGTTCCCATTTGAACTTTTAGCTAGTGAACTTATGTTCACTAAGTGCACTTAAAACGAAGTATTTTTTGTAATCAGTCCAAAATGTGCAAGGGTTCTTCAGTATACCTAGGAACCTCACAAGAGATTCATAGGCGTGTATACAAATTGTGTTGGCAGAATCTCTAAATTTTGCTTAAGGTTATCAAGGTGCACTTGAAGTGTTTGCATATCAGGCTGAGGATTCTGGTTTGCAAAAATGTGTAGGTTGTGCAAAATAATTGCTCTATGAGCATTTACATTCGGTAACTGAAGAAAATTTGGCCGTCAATTGGAGGACATTTTCACACAGAATTTCTGGTGATGCTACTGAAAATATTTAGGTGTATTCAAATTTTCTGAAGGTAATTGTTTTTTAGTGCCTTAAGAATTTCAGTTATAACTTGAAAGGACTTTGAAGGGGCAAAGGACATTCTCTTCAATCAACTACTGTCCTCAGGTAAAGCCCCCGTCGATGAGAATGACCCTGAACTCGGCTAATTAAGCGGGAAAATTCTTGTTGCTGTCACATACACTAGTCATCGACCGGTCATCTAGCATTAGGACCAGGCCAAACCAGCCATGGTCAGCGAGAAAAGTATCCCGCAAGGCATCCTAAACGCTGAAACCAACAACCATAGTTGTTCACGGCATACCGGAAGTAACAACCGACATATTAGTAGAGAAGTATGCTCACGACGTCCAGCAATGGCAGTGGTTATCAACGAGGATAAATTTAGGGAGGATAACGGCGGTGGCGGTCTGCAGACTGCTACGTCCCTCACATCTGACGACAATAACATCACACAAGTTGATGGCTATTAACTTTGGGTGTCAACAACTTTTAACCAAAGTACTGCAAACTTGGTACTCAGTAATAGACAACAGCGGGAACGTTCGTTGCTGTAAAAGCAGGGCCAAGACACTGCGACAAAGGCAAACGACACCCCGGTCTAGTGCTGAAGTCACCATCACTGTCAGTAGATAAGATATCCAAACCAACCTAGACTCTATAAAATCCCCAGAAACCACTGTGGGAAAAAACGTGATTGGGCCAGTTCTACGGGAGCTGGCCGTCCTGTGGCAAGTTTCGCCGTTGCGCACGATCCCCTTAAGTCTGCCACCACCAAGACATTCCGTGTTATTAGAAATATCTCCAAGTGTCTTTACAGTAATGTGAGGGGACTCAGAAGTAAGATGGGGAATTACGATCTTTTTGTTTTTGCCTTGCTCCAAAGATCATAATCCTGACAGATACTTGGTTGTCATAGGATATTGGTGACATCGAAACTGTTATAGACGGTATGCGTCTGTTCAGGATAGACGGAGTTTAACGAAGGAGATGGAGTGGCAATGTTTATTAGTGACCATCTTAAAAGTGAACGAGCGACTGAAACTATACTCCCAGACTCCATCTGGTATCACTTTACGGTTGGGCGTCTACAGAACTCCTACTAGCAACGCGGAACAGAACCGGCAACTGCTGCAAGTAATGTCCTGAGCGACGTCCATGGGATATGACTAGCTCATTATAGCCGGCGACTTTAACGTTCCAACTGTCAATCTTGGGCAGGACAGGGAAACTCCAAGCCGAAAGTTCGACCGAAACCTACTCAACAGTATCCAAAAGGCTTGACTGCTCGATAATATTGGTGATAACGCTCTCTGGGGATCAGGCGGAAAACCGTCCAAACTGGACTACCTTTTCACAAGCGGCCACCTACTGGCTGAAAGCGTTCAGGTCCAAACCACCCCTTGGCAGCAGCAAACACGCCGTGATAGCGTTCGACCTGTTATTCAACGAACAATTGTCATGGGAAGGATCTTGCCCTTGTCTTTTCTACAACAAGGCAAACTACGTGGCGATAAACCAACATCTATCGACAACACCATGGCCTCAGGAGTGGAGTAACCTTTCGATTGATCAACATTGGGAACCAGTTAGAGATATCACCAAGATGGCTATCTCTGAAAACGTCCCAGTAATCAGAGCAACACCGAGGAAGCGAACCTCATGGCTGAAGCGAGGCACTGATCGCCTTTTGAAAGCCAAGAGAAAAGCATGACATAAGTGGAGGACCGCCAGAAAAGAGTCTGACCACACCGCGTATATGGCCCCAAGAAATCGATGCAACATCAAAGTGAGGGGAGACAGGAGGTCGTTACAGACGAACCTTGCCCGGAAGCTCGAAGTGAACCCCAAAAACCTATATCGATTTATGGCAGACAGAGAATCCACCAGCCAAGGGGCTTGCATCCTAAGAGGCCTGAACGGAGAGGGCCTCTCCGGACTAGAGGTCACCGAAGCCTTTAGCGCCGCCTTCAACATGCAACTGAACACGTCTCCATCTAACCAAAATTGCCAACTGCCCGATCACCATTCAGCACCACCAAATGCAGTGGAGTTGTATGGAATAAAGGTAACTCCTGCTATGGTCCTCGAAAAGCTATCAAAGCTCCGCGCAGGGAAATCACCAGGATCCGATGACATCCGGCCGGCTGTGTTGAAACAATGAGCTGGTGCCTTGTGCAGCCCGCTGCGTAATCTGTTTCAAAACTCCTTAGACAATCACATGCTTCCACGGGAGTGGAAACGTGCTATTCTGTCCCCCATCTTTAAAGGAGGAGACAGGCAGAACCCAAAATGCTATCGACCCATAGCCCTTCTACCAGTGGTGTCAAAAGTAATGGAGTCTGGTAGACGACCATGTCAGAGAGTACTTGGAAAAGATGGGAGCACTAAGTGATGTTCAACATGGTTTCAGAAAGGGTAGATCCTGCGCCTCTAACATTCTGGTGGCCGGTGATAAGTGGACGCCATGTTGAGACCTCCGAATTCCTGTTCATGTCGTTTTCCTGGATTTTGCTAAGGCCTTCGACGCAGTCCCGCACACCATTCTTATTCACAAGATATAAAGGGTCAGGTGCTCTCCTGGCCACAGGACTATTTAGACGGCAGACGATTCTGCACAAAAGCCAACAGAGTTTGCTTGACTTGGAGGACATCATCATCTGGTGTATCACAAGGAGCGATTCTGGGTCCGCTGCTATTCCTTCTTTTTGTGAACGACCTCCTACTGAATCTCAGCTCCCCAATTCTACTTTACGTTAATGATGTCAAGTTGTGGAGAGCCGTGACGTCCGAAACAGAATCAAGCTCACTGCAAAGTGATCTCAGATTAGTTGCAGAGTGGGTGGATATTAATAGACTAGCATTTAATCTGGATAAGTGCCGAGCCACGTTTCTCCGCACCTCTGACTCTCAGAAGGTACCCTATTCTCTCTGTGGAACACAACTTTCCCACACCACCACGGAGAAAGACCTAGGATTAATACTAACTGACAAGCTAGACACTAGCTTCAATTATCCAGGAGACGCCTCTAGAGCCTACGCAGTACTGCACTCAATGCGCAAACTAGGTGCCCTGACCCCAGAACTCTTTTTAAAGCTGTACAAGACATATATATGACCTCACTTAGAGGTCCACAACGTTATTGCACCACCATATCTGAAAAGAGATGTGGACCTCCTAGAGAAAGTTCAAAGGACAGCTACAAAGAGTGTCATGGGAATGAGGCGAAAACCCCATGTGAACAGACTGAAAGATCTAGGACTCTACTCTCTAAGCTACCGTGGACTACATGGTGACTTGATAACGGCTTACAAAATACTAGGTAACCCAAGTTATCCGAACAGTGGAATCCTATCAAACGGCCACTGTGGCAATCCTCATGGTAACCCAAAGAGAATCACCCACCAAAGGAAAAAAACCCATGTGCGTTCACACTTCTCTCTGCGAGTTTGCGGCCACTGGAACGCATTGCCTCCTGAGATTGCTACCGCTCCGTCTGTTGACAGCTTCAAGAAGAAGTTGGACAGTTACGCGGCGACTCACGGCTTGCGCTCATGCAGCTGGGATATGGACTAGGCGGACACGACCTACTAACTCAGCACGACCAACCCATCATCAAATACGTTGTAACACCACTATCACTGCAAACTTGGCTCAACCTTATACTTCCCTATAGACGTCCCTTCCAGTTACTGTCTCCTACTAATAGACTTACTATCTCTATTCCATAAGCCGTCCTATAATGTTATTTTCTCCTCTTTCTACTGACTTTACGTCCTCACACTTTAATAAAAGCTGTCCCCATCACCTCTCTCACATGAATCTACTGATGTTTCTTCTTCCGTACCGTTTCCTTTTCCCTAATCGCTTTTTTTCTATTGTTTATTTTTTCTCCGCACTTTCCATTTATTTCTCTGGACATAGTTTCCGTCTCTTTTTATAACCAGTCTGACCAATCGTCTGCTGGCACAACACTTGAGGAACCCGTCTACAAATTTAACCAACACTCAACCGCCCGTCGCGCTAACCAGAGCTACAGCAGTCAAGTGGGTAAACCTACTGCATCGGAATCCATCAAAGACCTAGAACCGTTCCGCAAGACCTAGAAGCAAGCGCGAAGAAATCAGTTAGTTTACACTAGCTCGTAAAAAGATATTGGTATCCTTCTGTTAGTTCTGCAGCTGATGTCCGTATTGTGGGGTAGTTGTCAATAGCGAGACTTCCTATAACAGTTCGTTAATATTATGCACCTTCAAACTCCACATCAGAAGAGTTGTGTGTAAACGGTGATATCAGCATCAGTTGTTGGTGTGATTTATTTCAAGGCAGTCCACTATATAAACGATTTTGGGCTTAAGGAACACTCTAAAATGAAAATGAATCATATCTACTTCGATAGTGAAAGTTGTTCGAGTTTTCCCTGTTATAAGTGAAAGAGAAAATGAAATGTGGTAGAGTGTGAATGTAAAATTGAAAAAGCGAAGACGTTTTAGTGAAAACTGGGTGTGAGTTGTTTATAGCATCATCTTTTCATGCACATCTACGTCGATCTTCATGCTAATCGCCATGTCGAATTTTATAGTTGTTTCATTCCTGTTCTCCTTTTATGACTTGCTACTACCTTTGGCTACTTTCTTTCTTACTTTTGGATCCTTTATATTCGATGTAGCAAAAACACCGCTAAGTAATACAAGTTCACGCATTGATGATCAACTAACTGAATTCCGCGCAAATAAAATATACGTAAATCCTCATTACTCCATGATCCAACACTGCGTATTTTAAGTTGTGAATAACGCGGGATAGTAAAAGTGTAAGTGATTTCACTGCTTTAGTTTTGATATGTTCTAAACCTTATTAACATCCCCTGTCTATGCAACATCCTGGCTGAATGACTGACTGACACTTCACCATGTAGGATTACATTTCATCCTCATATACTATCTCCAAAGAAAAACCTGCCAGTGTTTCTGAATCTACGAAGCCTGGTAGAACCTTCATCTTCACAACCTCATCAAATGATTTTCCTCTTCTCCGAGTGAAACAGCACCTGACTTCTACATTCGTGACATGGTAATACCTCTATACACAGCTATGCAAAGTGACAGACAAAATCAACGTAGAACCTTGCACACAAGTGCATCGGTCCAAGTTGCCACACTTCACATCAGTGTACAAGAAACAGATAAATAAAAAAGGAGTGATATCAAAGTAGACTAAGTTGTGTGAGAGAATAAACAATTTGAAGATAACGGTTAATGCGAATATTCGATCTATGAAGGTTGTTTATCGGCGTACCATCTTCCTCACAGACCGTCTCACTGACACCTGGCTTCTTGCTACCAGTGGCTAGAATGAGCTGGAACAGCTTCTCACTATTCCCAGACCTAGCTGCTGCTTCCATTTCACTGGTGCTTCCTGACCACCAAGCCTCTTGGTTCTTGAGTAAGTGTTGTGTAATCTTCCACGTGAGAGACTGACGCGAACCATTGTGCTCGCTATCCCCGATAAGGGTCGACAGGAGTCAAAAAGTTTCAGAGAACTCGAAGAGACCTAGTGTTTATTAGCAGGACGTTCGTCCAAGCCACAAGCGGCTTAACTCGTCATCTTCTTGGCGTCTTGTAAGTGCAGCCAATGCTCATCTACACTTTCTGGTAGATTATTAGCTAGCCTTAAATCTAGCTCGGATTGATATTTAGCTGCAATGTTAGGTGAAATTAATTTGCTCCCATCGACATGTTTAGAACGACGGTTTAATGACCACCGAAACACAAGGTGAGCTTAGCAAACGCTAAAGCATGGTCAGAGTCCAGATAAATACTCTATATAGATTGCGAGTCCTACATGCACCCGCGCCGTCGGTAGCTGATTGCACCATGATCTATCTGAGTCCAGTTTTGAGTGGCAGAGGGAGGACGTCAAGTAGTACAACAGCGATGGCTGTGGCAGAAGTTAGTGCTGGCTGAAAACAGGTTGTGATCTGTGCAAAGCTGCAAAAGACGACCCCTATTATCCAACCTGCGGTCAACTAGTCCCCATTGGCCACCTAAAGGACTCTCCTCTGAGCCTAGACCCTAGACTTGCCCATTTAAGTCCCCACCTAGCACTACGATATCTGTTGAGCGCACTTGGTTGAGAAGATCACTCAGTCGATGATAGAATTCATCCTTGGTTGCACTGGGGCTTCAGTCCGTCGGAGCATAGGCAGAAATGATAAAGAGACATCAGTTCTCTTACCAATTACTTCTTACTCCAGTTGAACCTTCTAGCCCAGCAGCACACAGGCGACTGTTGATGGGGATCCAGTCGAGTAGGTCAGCTTCGGCTCGAGCGCTTTGTTGGGACACTGACACTAGTGAAACTGGTTGCCGATACCACAGGGTCCCAGGAAGAGTGCATATAAAACGTACTTTTCTATCTGATAGACGGGGAACTTATTTGAAGCACTTCACTGGAATCTTGTATGTAGGTCTCTGAGATGCAGCATACATCAGCAGTTAGGCTTTCCAGAGTCCTAGCCAAACCTGCCTGTTGTTTGATCTGCATCGAGGTGCTAACGTCGGTGACTAGCTTAAATGGTATGCATGACTCCACGATAGCTGTTTCAGATGTCGCACTGGAAGACACATTAATGGAGGTAACTGTTTAGCGACTCAAAGCGGTACAGACATATCAGAAGTTTCAGCAATGGAGAGCAGGTGAGTGAAGTGAAGGTAAATACAGAAGCAAAATTGTAATAATAGAAAAATACAGCTCACATGTAAAAACAACAAAAGAAATATAATAGCAATAAATTGAGTAGTCGATTAAAAAGTTCGGAGAGTTTGAATATTCCCAGAAAGTTGGTTAATCGCTCTGAAATCTCCATTTTATACTGCAAATCCATATTTTGTGCGGCACCCAGACCGATGAAGATGGATGCCTTTGGGGACCACTCCCCAAGCCTTTGACTTAGTCCAATCCACTAGTAAATGGAGCAACATCAGAAGCTGCATTCCCATGATTGCCGGTAACCAAAACAAGTTCATACGCCATTCGCTCCACCTGAAACCTGAATTCCGTGTGCGCCACTGGTTTGGAATCAGAGATTCCCAACCCCCCATAGGTGCACCCTCAGTACCGTCAATTCGGTGATAAGCGCAAGATATTCGCTTGCGTCCTTCCACGTCTGCGGAAACAACCCCGCCACGTGAAAGTAATGGATAGGACTTCTCTGACTGCAGCTGCGAACGCATACCAGGGCATTTGGAGACAGGACGATGAGTAAAATGTTCATATTGGATATCGTTTATATTCCTTCAAATCACAGCGTTTAATTTTGCCACGACCCGGATTCCTAACTTTCAATCGTCTCTCAACATCAATAATGCAAGTCTGCCAAATTATGGTTATCTAAATCGTCACACTGCTAACAATAGTAAATAACAAATAAAATAGTCAGCTAAACAAATATTAATTAGTTAGGAACCGTTTACTTAAAGAACTTGCTTTCTCAAGACACAGAAGTTAACCTCTGAATCGACTGAATGTTTTGTTATTTCAAAATGTTTCCACCTTAATTCGAACGCTATTAAATCATACGGTTAGTGAGAATTACAGGTAGAACATTTGCAACTAAAAGATTCCAAATACTTCCATTTAAGTTGATTTATTAATGTGTGTCACATGGTGGAACAGTATTATTTACTGGTCACGTTTCAGAAAATTTATTGTCTATAGTCCTATCATGATTCTTAATTACTTTAGTAGATTTTTTTCTGAAAACGTTTTCAAGATTTCTTATCACATTGACTGAAAAATGGGGTAATTCTCGTAGTAAAACGGTTGAAAGTCACAAATAACTCATAGACGATAACTATGGAGTAAATATTTAACTTGGTTATGTTTTTTGTGTAATAATAAGAACAATACCAATTCTATTACCACTACTACTAAACGGTAATAATAGTGGCTATAAGCCACACTTATTGTACTGAAGGCCTATGATACTACTCGGTTGTCCAGGTGAAAGTAGATCCAAGATCCATTACTTGGAAGTTGAGTTCGGGTCATTCTAAGGCATTCATTCCCAGATATTTTTTGACAGGAGTTTTATGAATGGTGGTGAACTTTGTACAACTTTTTATTTAACTTGCAGATAAATATCATTCTACTACGTTTGAGCAGGAAACTAGATCACCGGTAATGTATCTGGTTATTTAGATTGAATGTGCTCTCTTTTACCAAAAGATTACATATTTGCATCTGTTAAAAGCCATGGCTCCTTCTAGTAAAACAAATACTCCAGAAAAGATTCTGTCTCTTTGCGTAAAGAATTTACCGCCAAATATGGATTATGATATGCTGAAAAAAATTATCCCATCAGCCAAGAAACTAATGCTGCGCAAGAAATCAAATTTTATGCGAGCATTTATCACATTTTCTTCAAAGGAAGGTCATAAAGATGCGTTACATCGTCTGAAAGGAGTCGAATTTGATGGGATTAAGGTAATATTTCAATAATGTTATTTAACTCTAAATCTAAAAACAGATGTCGTGCATAAATTCACCAGACATTTATCAAAGAGAGAGAGAGAGAATACAAAACACACCAAAGCTATTCTAATTTTGCATTAATTTGTTACTCACTGATTAACCTTGTGTTGTACTTAGATTAAAGTAGTTTTATCATGTTAATCGTTTAAATCCATTTGCACTCAAAAGTGAGATCCATTAAAGATTGTGAACAAGTAAACAGTCTTTCGATTATTTGATGTTCACTGCAAGAATTGTAGTGCTTGTCTAAACTGCTTGAACACAGCATCGATATGAACTTTGATAATGTGATTCCGTATTGGTTTGTTTGGTTAACTTGGCACACTATTATAGAATTATTTCCTGAATAATTTTTAAACGTAGCTTACTGCTCATGATCATATCGAGCTGTTAAAATTTCTGATTTCGTTTCATAGTCCTATAATTTCTTATTTTGTAAGTGGTCAGGTTTGTGCAATCATGAGGAGTTACAATCTGGGACGAAACGACTTTGCAGTATAATTTGTTTTTTTTGTCACTAAAAACAGAAACTGCGAAGTGTTTTGCATACAGAGACTACTGTAAACGGTCTTCGATCATACTGATACAATTATGACCAATAATTTATGTCCGTATCATTAACAAATCATAATAAGGCGTTCGACGTAGACTTTAGGCACTGAGATTCTATTCTAGTTTGTTATATGTATCATACAGTGAAACAGTATTACGTAATGGTTGACGCATTAGCACAATTTATCGTTTATAATCTGATGAAAAATTGCAGAGCTATTAAATAATTACCTGAGTATAATCATGAACAATAAATTGTGATCGAAACACTATCCAGTAAATAATACTCTTTCACTGTGTATATAATAAAGTAACTAAATGAAGGATTTTTAGCACAGCGGGAAAAATTCTGGTTTTTTTTCCCTGGAAATTTATTTGATGTCATAGTTCAGTCTAAATTTGCTGTAGAATGGAAACAGACCAACCAAAGGAGAACTTTTATCAACTACAGACATACTTGACGGTAGTATGCAAAGAAAAAGGTGATATCAAAATAGACAAAGTTGTGTGAGAGAACAGAAAAACTGGAGAAAACGGATAGTGCAAATATTCAAACTTTAAAACACGTCAAATGGTGAGTACATCTGCGCATTGTGACCGATTTCAGCCATGTCACCAGGAGTCCTTAACCACTGATTCCTTTCGTCTCGGGGACCCCAACCATGCACTGTACATCACCCCACACAGCTCAAACCAACAATCAAAGACTTGATGACTGATGCAACATCTCTGAATCTAATTCAAGTTCACCCTAGCATTGCACGTCAAGGTAGGTTGTGGCTTGGGATGTGCAGAAAATGTCCAAGCCATCTCATTCGACTAAGGTTGACAACCTCATCAATCGACTTGCCTACTACCCTTCGCCTGACCTCAACATTGCCCACATGGTGATTCCATCAAACACAAGGATTACTACGAAGACATCTGTGATCAAAACACTGTAGTCGCTTCATGTTTTCTGCTTTTAACTGCCATGTCTCGCAGCTGTATGACAGGACAGAACGGACTGCAGTTCATCATACTCATCTTTTGATAGATAGTTGGATATCCCACCAGTTTCGCTACAGGTAACGCAAGTTAGCAAATGCAAAACAGGCCTGTATTTGAGCTGATATTTTGTCAGCAACCAACCCGTTCGGGCTGACGCAACTCTGAAGTAATTGGAGTGTTTGACACATTCCACCACTTTTCTCCCTATCATTAAATGGGGAGTACTTGCAGCACGTTAGTCTCGGGGAATCATCTTACATCTGTTAGGTACGAAACAAATCCCAACATACTCATCTCTGCTGAAGGCGTTCAGGTGACCATGTTTTTTCTCAACGTCTTCACCTAGCAGAAAGATACTGTCTACGTACTCAAGGTCAACCAGATGACATTCAGGGAGTAGATCAATCCTTGTAAAGTTATACGTACATCTTTAGTGACATGAAACGGGAACGTTGGAAGTAGTCATCCCTAGTGAACACCATTAGTTGTCATCAGATTGCATGAAGAATTGTAGAATCGATAACTAGAAATGAGTGAATTATGCAACTATTTCTTGTTATCAATTCTGAAATTCGGTTTAGTGGACTTTGCCATTCATCTTGTTTCATTTCTTTTCGTTCTTTTGTTTCTCCTAGCCAGTGCTTCAGTCTTTTTATCATCAACCAGTTGATAAAACATAAAATTAAACCGGAAAATGTTGAATTAACTATACAAAATCTACCACAAACAATTACCTTAGCTCAGCTTAAAAAGAATTTCCTACAGCAGTGTCTATAAAACTGATGACAGATTTATGGGATGTACAGAAAAGGTAGGCTGTTTCAATTATTGCTTTTTTCAAAACGTTCCCTTCATGAGTATTTCAAAGTTGTTGTAATGTTGACTCTTATCATTCACTAATAAACTTATCTATATGTTGACTCATAGTTTTCTACATTTGGTCCCTAGTGTCCGTGGTATGCTGTAGTCTTTTTTTAAATAATAAATAAGTAAATGTTTTATTCTCACATTAAAAAACTTAACATGAGAGAAGCCAGCTTACAGGTGTCATCACGTTGATATATCTCAGTATCTACAAGACTTTACGAGTCCTGAATGGTACAGACGGAATGTCATTAAACTCTATTAAAAACAACAGAAGATCCTGCTAGTTATGAAACGAATAAGGAAATATCACTTTTCAGCGTATACAGAGTGTTAAAGTTGAGATAATAAATAAATATTATCCTCATATAATGGGTTTAACATGAGGGATACCAGTTTACAAGAACCATCAAATTCGTACTTTTTAAAGTTTACAAACTGGTATTTAGTATTAAATAATTCACATATCAAGTCATTAGTGTGCATAATCTTATTAAAATTTGCTGATATTCATGAGACGGGCGTGGTTTTTCATCTCCCATCATACAGATGCAATTGAACCTCCGAGCTCATTTATTCGACATCGCTGGTGTGTTATTGCAACTTATTGATGCGTGGGATTTTGGCTCAATGGTTTAGGTAGTTGACTTTCAAGCAGTAGGTTGGAGGTTGCGATACCGCTTCACCGAGTTTTGGGCAGCCAGATAGTAGGTATCATTAGCCTTCACATACCAGGTCTGGCGCATTGCCTACTGCACAAACTTGCACATGGTTACTGAGTGAACTCGAGCACCTGTTGATCACTTGTTCTGACTGCACTTCACTTACTAGGATTTGGATACTATGGTTGTCCCCTCTATCTATCATAAAACATATTTAACTCAACTACAGACATACTTGACGGTAGTACACATAAAGGTTTGTTACTGTCAGACAAGTTCGTATACTTGTTTCAAAATTAGTTTTCATTCAGCATTGAAGAGCTGAAGATCTTCGATAGAATGTTATCGAATGACTTTAAACGAAAATTATGAGAATGCCTGATATTTTCTTTCGAAACTTTTCAGTTGCAGACAAACTTGTATAGACTGTGATTGAAAGGATTAGTCATTGAAATCTCATCCACTAATCAAATAGCAGTAGTATGTCGCTTAAAGAGACGAGGAGTTGTAGATTCAATCTTTCCAGTGATAACTGGAGTGTACCACCGGAAAATTTAAAAATAGGACGAAATTTCGTTTGTTCTTGCCTACCAATTGTTATTTGACAAACAATAATTTATAAAATAATCTATCTTCAAACTCGGAATTATCGTTGATTGTTGAAGTCTTTGGGTTACATGTGCAAAATTGCATCACCTAGCTACCAACCTGGTGTTTTAAACAGTGACTTATGAGGCCGACCTATCACCAAATGTCAGCCTCACTAAATTACTTCGTTATAGATTTGTTTCTTTTTACACGGCACAGACGGAGAAAAACAAATGATAGAACTATAGGACGCTTCTGTCCTCACCCAATCGTCAAATGACCTTAAACTAACCAATCACATTAAAGGTACCTGAGTGTTCGTTCTGGGGACTTATTGAAAGAATATCGCTGGTTGTAGAATGAGCATATACAGAAATATGTTGATGATTAATTCGATTGAATCGGAGGGATTTATTTGCTATGTAATCATCTCGCACTGTTTGCTAATTCTGCAGCGTTTTTCGTGTGTCTGCATTTCCCAAACGAGACAAAATGGTAAAAGTATAGGGTCCTAGCGTCCTTGGGCGGCCACTAAAAGACCTTGAGTTGCCCAATCAAGTTACTAGGTGATTGTGTGGTTATTTTAGAAAACTGAATTATTTAAAGGATTCCGCTTATTATAGACAGATGTTGGTTGAATCGAAAGGAATTCTCGTATTATCGTCTTGCATTAGTTTCTTATTCCGAGGGATTTTTCATTCGGTTCCATTTCATGTAAAGGACAAATTCTACAAAAGTTCCTGCTGGAGTATGCTAGCACTAAGTTGTCTACTCTAAAATGTAGTTACAACTCCTTAAAGCGCACTATTCAATTCCGAGTATCTACGCAGTAACAGTTAAGTCATCAAGCAACAAACAAACCGCAAATAGAACTTTCTTTTAGCGCTCCTGAGAGGTCCTACTTGCTGCTGCTGCTGCTTTCTGACTCAATTTTCAAGTTTTATACTTTGAAATCTACAAATCATCTACTTTCCAATGCCATTAACCTATGTGTACATCTTATACATTGACGATCCCGTGTACTGTATGATTTGTTCAGTTATGCATATGCTGTCAAATAAGTCTTCATTACTACTTTTAACGTATATTTGTTTTCCAATTGAACTCAATTGTAATGGATAGAATAATTCGACTATACTTTTAATTGGCTACTAAAACTAACTAAACAAGACCACCAGCCATTGAATTGCTTTTACGTACACTAGCTTTACGGTCCTCAGTTGTGTGCATTCTTCCAGTACACGAGAGATTAAAACAAGTGTAGAATACTTAGTGTAGGCAGCGATCACAGTAGCTATCGTTTGCTGGATAGGCACCCAGTGATTCTGTGATTGGTACTTCCTTCATTAATCTGTTCGCTGTAGATAGCGATCGTCATCCATTGCCACTGGTGAACATCTGTCATTTTTAAGGTAGTTGTCTGCATAGCAGTACTATAAGTACTTTGGAAAGTTAATCTTGGGACCACTCGTTCACTAGCAACGAGATCTAGGTTGTATACTGTTCAAATGCTTCAAACTAAGGTAAAGTGGCTGTTCACTACTCAATCACTAGCCTTCATTAGCTCTTCATTTAACAGTGGTACTTGTTTCAAGCCGTTTTGAAGACCATTTAATTGAAAATGTTGGTATTTTTCAATGTTGTTTGAAAGACACTTGGAAAGAAGCATGCACAATTATTTTAGAAAAGAAATGAGGCAATCAAGGAAACTAGAAAAACTTCAAGCTAACTAACAGTGGCGTACAGAGTTGCAAACATAAGTTGAGGCTACTTGTCGCCCCTCTGTAACCCACCTAATGGAGAAACGGACCAAGTAGATTGATATTTTGTATTTATAAAATTATTGGAGATAGTCGTTGTTTGACAAATTGGTATTATTGGTTGATACTATGTAAAATAAAAACCTGACTCGTGGTAAGATTTGAACTAGCGACCTCCGGATGACCGACTCGGTACTTTTCCAACTGAGCTACCAGACCCATTTCATATTCAGTCATCCTTCAGTATTAATAATACCAATCTGTCAAACTATGTCTATCTTTAACCGTCTCACTAATAATCAACACGACACTGTTACCCTATTTCAGTTCAGTTGGAAGTAGGACGAGAAAATTTGGCTGGATAGCTAAAGTAATTATGGTAAGTGGACAATTACGTATTACGGATCTACATGAAAGTCGGGAAAAACCTGCGGCGATTGAAGTGATGACCTGATTAGCAGCTGGGTCCTGTTGCCTAGTTGGTAGAGCATCGGACCAGTAATGCAAAGACTTCCGGTTAGGATCTTGTCGCTACCCAGGTTTTCGTTTGACTTTCAATCATCACCCGGTTGCAGTATTTTACATTCAAGTCGATGGTTGAAAGGCTGGAGGAACAGGCTTTGACAAAATGAGGATGTTTCTTAAAAAAGGTTTACCTGTCATGGATCCTAGCAAAGTCATGCTTTAGGCAGGTTTTTGAGTGAATTAATGAAATTAAAATGTGCCAGCTAGTCGAATCACGTTAGTAAGTTACGAAAACATAATGAATCTCAAGTTTTTGGCGACTAATTCCCATTTTGTAGCGCTGTAATGTTACACAATACGTTGATTGTTTCAACAAACTGTTGAATGTGATATATTGATTATGATGAGTATTTTTTTTCCCTTTTTATTTACCGATTGTGCTTGTCAACTTTTCGAAATTCACTGTAGCTTTTTAACCTACTGAAGGCATCCACACATATACTGTTGGGATCCCTTATAGACATGACATCTGAAAAGTCATTTCCTACTTCAACGGAATAATATATTTCAGGTATTAACGATGAATATTAGGATTTTTTTTTTTGTCATTCGCTTTGTACTACCTTCATTTATATAGTCTTCAGCATGAATTTTGGCAACCGGCGTGTACCATACGTGTATGAGATTTCAAGCTTAGAAGTGGTAGTTTAAATATTTTCTAGTGTTCACACCACTTATTAGTACTTGGTTAGAGTTCACTTGTAAAATATCTCGGTAATGTTTATCCATCGAGGTCATTTGGTTACCGAAGAATATCCACTAGTTATTTAGAAGTCATTCGATCTAGACATTTAGAAGTTTCCCGCCGGGTATCAATATCACCATCTCTCACTGGTGAGTAGTCACTGTGACGGTAGTGATAGTCATTTATCTGACGAGATCATTTACTTGTATGCTTCATATTTCAATATACTTTTATATCATGCTCTTAGGTCATGCTTATTAACATTTCAATGTTCCGAAGATCTGGAGGATGTTTTTGAATCATGTCATCATAAAGTGATTGGTGGGGAAACTATCAAAGCGATAATTGGTGCACAGGCAACGCTTTACTATGAATCTTCTGGACCTGATGATATACAAGATACTCTGGGGATAGAAATTGTTAGAGTTGCCTCTGAAGTTGATGATGATCAAATACGTGGACATTTCCCCAAAGATACTTTAGTTGAGTATCACTCTGTGCCTAATAGCGATTCGGATACAAGGTTAGCAGAAATGGTGGAAATTTTTTGGTTGTCTGGGAATGGGTATCAAAGCTGTCTCTTATTAGCACTGTTGATGTTTCTCTAGTAGAATTCTCGAATTTGTAATTTGGATTTGATATTTTATAATTTACTCAATATACAAATATAATCGAAATTCAGGAGTTTATTGGAGCTCCACAAACTGAGTTGTCAGCCACACATCCGAGTGCTTGCTAGGTGTTTGATTTTGCAGACTTAAAATGGATCATCTATAGATTGGAAAATGAATGTCTTAACAACGGAATCCCTGCTCGATGCTCCACACGCTTTTTCAAGTGAAAGGTGACCAAATAGAGTATTTCACAGATATATATTGTCGAGACTCTGGTTTATTTTCCAAACCCCACCTGACAAACTTTTCATTGTCAAGTCTACTGCAAAAGAGATTAGAATGACTGCCTCATTTATTAGATTTTCTTTGTTTGTGTGTGTGTTTGTGTGCCTAGTTGGCTAAGTATTTACATTAAATTTTGAAGTCGGAAGGACTTATGAAGAATCTCATTGTTCATGACCGTATACATTTTCTTGCATAATGTGCCAATATTACATAACTTTTCGAGCGGCAGTCCCATACGGATGTCAGGCTACGTCAGAATAAGAGTTGTTGTAATAGTCAGATCCATCATAGATACCCTGTTGATCCTATTATCCTATTAGGATGAGTATGCAGAAACTCTTGAACTGTCTGTATCTTTTGCCCATCTTAATGCAGATACATGTCCTCTAATTAAAGTGTATTCCAATTTCACGAAATTATTGTATGAAGAGTGAAACATCTTCAGAAAGACAGTAGAGTTTCCATTATTGAAATCTGTTATCAGACTTGACACAGAGTTTAGAGGAAAGCTACTTTTTAACCACCGCTTGTTACTGTAACCTCTTTGATACTTGGGTTTGGTCCTCTAAACAAAACCCATCTTATTCCACTTAATTTGATCTTGGTAAGTTAGATTATCAGACAGATAATGTTCTAAGTGCCTGGATTGTATTTGTTTAATTATGTATGTATCATTGATAGCACTTGTATCAGCTTTATATGTTGTTTGTTGTGTTCATAGATCTGTCTACTTACTTAGTTGTTGTTTGCCATTTACGAGATAATGTTACTCTTAGCGGGTGTGGGTTCGACAACCGTATAATTCTTCGCATAAGCCATTCAGTACGATGGGGAGTAATTGAGTTTGGGGTTATAGATGCTTTGATTATATTGATACTTTTAGGGTTCGACTTCTTGTTGAACCAGAAATTGAATGCTAGTCATCTGCAGCACAATTTCAATTTCTTGAATTTTCGTTGTCCATGTTGTTATGACTCGAGAGTTGGCCTATTAATTTATCCTGTTATTTTTGTATCTTAATTCGAAATTATGGTTTCTTATTGATTCTTATTTTCTGCCGCAATCATCAAGTTAGGGTTGTACATGTAAGCTACCTTAGTTTTGGTTCATTGGTCAAGAGCGATGGCTTTCAACCAATAGGTTACGGGTTCGAATACCTACCGAGGCTTCAACAGCCAGGTAATGTCACCAGCTGTCACAATATATGTGGCTCATTGTTCGCTGCACAAAGGTGGACAAGGTTTCTGACTGAAGTTCGATTTATAAATTTGATTCCCAGGTTATATTCTCCTGTGGTTTAACACAAATCACCTGTTGAGAGGAAGCTGATTGACACATATCATTTGGCAGAGCTTCAAGTCAAATCTTAGCTTAATGTGCGGTTTGATGAAAATGCTTAATGTTGTTTGCTTGCTTAAGAAAAACTTGTGTGCTTTATCACTGTAGGTTAGGTGAACGGGTAATTTCAATTATTCATCCAAAAAGAGAGTTAAAAAAAGTATCTTCTATGATTCATACACTTGACTTTCGTTCATTCTGCTGGACAGTTTTACTTTATTTTATTACCTTCGACCAGTCGATCAGTACTGTCATCGTTTTGTCTACAGATGTCCTTTACACTTCCGTATAAAATTCTGCATCTGATCATTGAGAAGCGTTTATATCTTTTTTATACTGTGATAACATGTCCATTTTGGAAAAAGGCATAATGCTAGTTGAATTGGAAGTCATCTGGTACTATAATTTGCATTCAATTTTTGTGCATTAAGAGACAGAAACGTTAACTGCTGTTTTTCAACATCACTTCATTATTACAATAATGGTCGGTAAAAAAAATTTTCCTTCTTGCTTTAGAAATGTATTCATTCGTTTCAAGAAACAAATATTCAATTGGCCACTAATCATAACGCTTAAAAATAATGTATTTAGTGGAACATCTTTTCAAATCCGACCTTGGGCAAGTTATTCTCAATTCTGTTGCTAATGTTTTTTCAAATTCTGTTGTATTGAATCTATTTCAGTAGATTAGAGAAAGTTTGTTTTGCTACAAACTATCTTCAATTTTAGTAGCCGACACAAACGATATTTGAAAAAGTAATCTTTACTGTGTTATTTTATTTCCTAATGATGACTAGAAGAGCCTAGAAGATTTGGATTTCGCCGATGACTTATGTTTAATGTCGCAGAAACTCAAAGATCTACAGGCGAAAACTAACAAGTTGAATGAAGAGGCAGGTCAGCGAAGATGGGACTTCAAGTGAATGTAGAGAAGACGGAAGTGATGAAGATACCCAACCAACAATAGCATCAACAACAAGAGGCACCAATCACCATGAACGGGAGGAACCCAAAGGAAATAGTCTCTTTCACCTATCTAGGCAGCATCATTTCAAATACAGGTGGCACGGACGAGGACGTCTAAGCCAGGATCGGAGAAGCAAGACAGGCTTTCATTAACCTGGAACCAGTGGGGAGATCTTCTTCACTCAGCATGTGGAACAAGATGCGGATTTTCAACACCAATGTCAAGTCAGTGCTTCTGTGTGATGTTTCAGAGACTTGGCGCGTCGCGAAAAGCACTTCCAAGAAACTACAAGCATTCATCAACAGCTGCCGCCTACGCTCACTCGATACTGAAGATCACATCAGATAAGATCAGATCAGATGGCCAGAATAATGAGAATAAGCAAAAAGGAAGTCTGGCTGGCTGGCAACGAACCAACCAAGAAGCCATCGCCCAATAAATATGCAGAAGAGAGTGGAGATGGATTGGGCATATACTGAGAAGATCGACTGGGGACATCATACGCTAGGCCTCTGAGTAAAATCCAAAGGGGAAACGACGAGTTGGGCGTCCCAACTGAAGGTGACGTGGAGGAGATCATGTGAGGAAGAAATGAAAGGTTGTGGGCGGTCGTGGCGACATGTTAAAAAGACTGCAGAGAAGAGAGCACACTGGAGACATGTTACAGAAGCCCTATGTTCCACTAGGAACCCAAAGGAAAAATAATAATAATAATAATGACTAGGTTATTACACCGATAATATAAAGCTAACGAATGCGCTACCAACTCAACAATTATCTACTGACAGCTTTATCTCTCTCAACTAAAATGTCAAAAAGTGGAGAAGTCAGATCATTACCGAATGCTTTTTACGGTCATTGCAAACACAAAACCTGGCTAAAACTGTTTTGTGTATACGTACATCACTTTATGATGATAACCTTTTTTTGAAAACTAGACCACTGATTAGCTGAAGGTGAGAAAACAGCTTTGAAAAGTCTGTGAAATATGATCTAAATGCTGTGGCTTTTTAAACGGCGCGAATACAGTGCAATTCAAAACACGTGAATAATAGGATATTTTTTAGAACAATGTCAGGGGAATTCCTAACTGTTATGCTTCTGAAGTATTAATCATAAATGCCGAATACAAGTATGCCACTGTAGGGATTGACTAGATTCAAAATGCTGCCGATAACAAACAGCTAAGTTATTTGTAAATAAAGAATCACTTGGTGTCAACATAGCGGTTATCTGACAATGCACCAGTCAAAAGATGCTTTATGATAGTCATCATTATGCAGTCCTTGTTCTTTACTTACTTCTTTCTGAAATCCTCAGTTTATGTTGATTGCATGATCCTAAAACGAAAATGCTTTGCATCAATTCGACTATGAGACAACAGCACAACTGTATAACCTTTTTGGAATAGTTTTTTTTCGTATTCGGAGCCTGGTCATCCAAACTAAGCATTCTGCTCTGTAAACAACCTATTAAACATTCTAAGATTTCAAATATCTGTAGCTGATCGTAAAAATGGCTCCACTGAGATTATCCTAGTGGAGCTTATCACAATCAGATATATGCATAATTTCATCAGAGATTTAAGCAGCTACCGCTGGAAATAAGTCTTACTCCAATCAGAATTTTATTTTACATCGTACAGTGTTGAAAATTTCTCCTATATACGTATAACTTATCTCTAAAAAGTAATAATGTCTTTTGTAAAAAAAAACATTGTTTCAGACAAGTCAACAACGTTAAACAGTCAAAGTGATGCTGATATTAAAATGAACAGTGTGAAACTTGTTTTTTCTGATGCCGGTAAGCAGAATTATTGAAGTACAAATAATCTTTTGATGAAATTAGTTAGGTTTTCTCATAACAAATGCAACTTGATAATCAATCTCTCTTGGCTAGGACTTTGTATTTACTGCTGTTTATGTAAGGATGAGAATATTTAGATTGTGGTTTGAGCTAATTCCAAAAACCGGTGAAATCTTGATAACTTCCTCTCTGATTGGTGTATTCATCTGTTATAGAAATTATGAGTTTACTTTCGTTAGCATTAAATCGTATCATGTATTTAATTAAGTTCCCTTTTCGTATATCAAATTGGTAGAAATCTATAAAGTGACTAGTAGTAGTCAACTAGTGAATGGATTGTCTAAGACAAGTTTTATTGAAATATGCGAAAAAATGTCGCTCATTGACATAACATCTAGATAAAGTAGAGTTTGCATTTGTTTCTGAGCCGTTAGAATACTGGATAGGTAGGTAATCAATAAATGTGTGATTCATTACTGTTTGCACTGTCGTGAGTTTTATAACTGTTTCACCCGAAGTTCTTATGTAACCTAAGAATCATACATATCTTTATTAGCGTTTGATGCAAATGTAGAAAATGTAAAAAGCATTTACTTGTAGAGTCATACAACGCATTTCCTCACTCATTTCTGTTGAAGTAAAAAGAATGATGTTTCCTGAATGAGATGAGTTCATTCGATTTTATAGTTGCTTAACAGCAAAAGAAAAAGACAATCATGTACCTCCTTATTACGACAGATTATCTATTATACTGACGCGAACAGCATTGTCAGTTATTTGTCAGATATTTGACCGATCTATCACGAAGCATACATTTCCATATTTTTCAAAGGACTGGAGAAATCATTGTAAGAGTATATGCATGAAACTCCATTGATGTGCTTAGTTTTGTCTGTTTTATTTGTAAACTTTGTATATGTGTGACGGTTCCGTTTCAAATGACTCAAATATTTAAAGTGATCATATACGCTTGTTGCAACTACTGTATTCTAATCTGGTTACCTATCATAGCGAAACAGCTGTTTGCACAATAGACAGTAAGTTTCTTCTGTTCTACAACCATTCAAAGCTGTATACTTTCAGATTATTTAGAGATTAAGGAGGACATTTCATTTAGTTTCACTTTGTCAGTCTTCATATTCTTAAACAATCAACTCGGTGATCGCTGGTTTGAATCCGACCGCGGTCCGAATTTTCATCTCACCTTCAATCATTACCCAGTATAAATAAATGTAACTTTAGAAAATTGCTCGATGTGATACGACAACCGCTACTACAACTTTCCTTTTAGTAGACGTATATAAATATGACAGACCTATACTATACGCAAAAGTTTTTGATGTCTGCTACTTAGAAACTTTTTGTTTTCCTTTCGCTTTTATTTTAGATGGTAAGTGATGCACTGAAAGTTTCACTGGTTATTGTGTACATATGCTGAATAATCGGTATCTCAAAGTTTATGTGATAACAAAGTGACACAATACTGACTTATTTTATGAAAAAAACTAGTGAGATAACTGTGTCCTGTTTTGAGCTTGAATAAAATATAAACTGTGATTGACAAAATCAAGATGAAACTTTCTTGCATTTGATCTGTAGGTCTGTGGGGATTTATTAGTTGATTTCAGGTTGGAATTCAACATAGACCGATATCACTTGGAAAAACATTAGAAACTTAGGAGCACTGGACAGCTGTTTCGCCTTAGTGTGGGGCTACTCGGCAGTGCACACCCACGACCCCGCCAGGAATCTAACCCAGGGCCTCAAGGGTTCCGCGGCCAGCACGTTACCATTGAGCCACTGGGTCAGCATCCATTGGTCCATATCTCCTACTTCTGTCAGTTCATGATATAGCGTGTCTTCCAACTAGTATCGTTGAGTAACTGTCCTCATGTTCAACTTGGTTAACTTCACTGGTCACGACTTTTTATTGGAACTTCAGGAATCACTTCTCGAAGCTAGTCACCGATGAGCGCTAGATTAATGTTTTTCAGTTGGTTAGTTGAGAAAGATGCTGCACTTCAGTGGATGGCTTTCCTCAGTCTCTTCTGAATTCGATCTTATCGTTATGCTAAAACAGAAGACATTACTGCACAGAAATATTCAGCGATCTACGATTACTTCATCAGTTGGTAAAAAAGCAATTTCCGTCACTGAGTGTCAATGCATTGAGTGCGCAGCATATCGACTTTGACTTCATTTTGTGCAAACATGTGGTTGCAGAAAAGGCGGTAAAAATTTGTAGCCAAAACCACCTATACAGCCTCACTCAAATTGATAAGTGCGAGAAAACCCGTTTGAATATAGCCCCGAAACAACACGAACCGAATTTTCGTTATAACGACAGGCAGTGATGAGTAAAAGAAATGAAGGACGTGTAGAAAATATCGATGTTAGGCAATACTCGGCAGTTACGCATACTGATCCGAAGAAAGGAAACGGTTAGCGAGATAAGTAGGATCCTGAAAGCTTATCAGGACACGACTCCGAAATTTGTGGTCAACAGTCCAACTTAGTCACAGTTGTGGGTATTGTTTCCTCAACTTTCAGGTATTTCGGAAACAGTTTTAAAACTGGTGCAAAACGAAGATGGGGATTTGTATCCAGAAATTTCAGAGTATGGTTTCCGAAAATCACTAGTTGAAATAACTAAAGCACTCAAAGGCGTACGGGAATCAGAAGTGTTCTCTTCACACATATAGATTGTTGACTGTTCAAGTTTGAGTAGACAGAAAAATCTCCTTGAACAAAATGTTGCTGATGTCTCAGGATTTTCACAAATCACGGACAACTGGGTATCAGGAAAAATGATCCAGAGGAACCTATGTAGGTTTCAGGTATGAATAGGAGCATAAGCGTTAAGCCATGCTTGA